TTTTTTTTTTGTTAATCCTCCCTTGAGGATATTTTTTCCATTGCTTTTCAGAGACAGTGGAAAGGAGGGGGAGAGAGAAACATCGATGTGAGAGACACATCAACTTGTTGCCTCCCGCAAGCACCCCCACAACCCAGGTACATGCCCTTGACCAGGAATTGAACCGGTACCCATCGGTGCACAGACCAACACTCTAACCACTTAGCAACACCAGCCAGGGCAACCTCTTCCTTTTTTTTAAAAAAAAAAAATATTTTTATTGATTTTTTACAGAGAGGAAGGGAGAGAGATAGAGAGCTAGAAACATCGATGAGAGAGAAACATCGACCAACTGCCTCCTGCACACCCCCCACTGGGCACATGCCCGCAACCAAGGCACATGCCCTTGACCAGAATCAAACCTGGGACCCTTCAGTCCGCAGGCCGACGCTCTATCCACTGAGCCAAACCCGGTTAGGGCAACTTCTTCCTTTTTATAGATGAGGAAACAGGTAGAATGACCTGCTCAGGGTCACACAGCTACTTAATGTCAGAGCTGGGATTCGAGTCCAGGGCAGCCCCGACTCTCTACAGCCACACTGCACCTGCACCAGCAGCTGTGCATTCTAGATCCTAAGTTTATCGCTTTCAAAAGTCCATTTCTCAGTCTATCCATATGCAAAATGAGAGCCCAGACTATGACTGTGGTCACGGCATGAGGTGAATTCATAAAAAAATACAGCGCATGCTGTCTGAAAAACACCTCTTTTGGAATTGTTGGTCAGAAATCGTTTGACAAGCATTCTTGGGTTCCACTGTCATGGTTGCTGTGCAAGTCCAATTTGGAGGAAGAAAGGCCCCCACAAATGCTGGCTCTGAAATGAAATTAAGCTCAAAAGCCCGAACAGGGATCTGAGAGTAATTATTCTAGGTAGAATCTCATTTTCTCAGTCACACGGGGCAGCTCTCACATTCTTTTTTTTTTTTTTTATGTGCCTCAGGCATGAAACAGCTCTGGCCACCGACACAGGCATCAAGCTAGGATGAACTAAGGACTGTACATCTGCTTTGCCCCTGACTGATATAAGAGCAACACCACCAATCAGGTGTCTCCTTGCCCATTGCCAGGGGGTAGCTCTCACATTCTTCCTGAGGGTCTTACTCATCTGAAATAAGCACGTGGAGAAATCAGGACGGAGGGAACACAGGATGCAGTGGACAGTTTAAGAAAGGAGGAAGGCACATGTATGGCACCCCCACAATGTGATGAGCTTACTGCAGCCTGAGCAAACCAGGATGTGAGCGGAAGAATTTCTTTTCCTCCCCCCTGTTTGATAATGCCGCAGAACTGATTGTGCCTGAGCTTTAACATCTGTCCCTGAGCTGTCAGTGAGGGGCATCGGGGCTTCGGTTGAGCAGTGAGGCCAGGACACCCTATGACAAAGCGGAGTCCAGGTCGGTCCTTAAGGCAGCTGGTGAAAGGTGTGGCCACACAGGCAACGGGGATGGCAAAGGAAGTGGTTATCATCGAAATTAGGCTGGACCAGTATTTGTTTGAGATCCACTTAAAAAATGACCAGCTGGCCTCCGAATCCTTTGTGCTAGCTGGCTTTTTATTTAGGACACGGAGGAATGGATTTCATGAAGAGATATCATCTCTGCCTCCCACGAGACGCCAATATTGACTAAGACTAAAACAGCAAGTAGTATCAGATAACCTCCTAAAATAAAGCAGGGAAAGCCATTATGCTTTTACTTTATTGATCCGGTTCTTAGCTACATGGGGAAAAACAGCCTACATTGTGGAAGCTGGAAATCTCTAAGGCTACAACAACACGTTGTTAAGAGCGGAGCATTCATCTGCCCGTGAGAAACAAGACCTTGTATCGAGCAGTCTGGGGATCTGCTTAACACCACCGTGAATAATGCTAGGCTGGCGAGCAGGGAAAACA